TACTGATCAGCGTGGGAGTTTTGACCTGCTCTGTTTCCAACCTGGGCCAGTTCACCCCTCCTTAGGCAATCTGGTGGTCCCCCGCTCCCGGGAGGTCACCATATCGATGCTGAACTTCGTGCGGACACCCAATCGGCATAACGCACTACAGCCCAGAACTCCTGGGCTCGAGTGATCCTCCCACCTCAGCCTCCCAAATAGCTGGGACTACAGGCACGTGCCACCGCACCTGGCCCAACTAAATGTTTATAAATAAACTTCTGAATTTGGAGTTTAGGCTTACAGGAAACACATGGACAGTACAGAGTTCCCATACACCCCCACACTCTGTGTCTCATAACGTTTTTCCTAACCACAGCACAATCAACTACGTTGTTTCAACTATGACATCAACTTTGAGGCCAGGTGCAGTGGCTCACGCCTGTCATCCCAGCATTTTGGGAGGCGGAGGCAGGCAGATCACTTGAGATCAGGAGTTTGAGACCAGCCTGGCCAACATGGTGAAAATTTATCTCCACTAAAAATACAAAAAAAATTAGCCAGGTGTGGTGGTGCACACCTGTAATCCCAGCTACTTGGCAGGCTGAGGCAGAAGAATCGCTTGAGCCCAGGAAGTTGTGGTTGCAGTGTGCTGAGATTGCACCACTAAGCTCCAGCCTGGGCAACAGAGCAAGACTCCTTCTCAAAAGAAAAGAAATTAGGCTGGGGGCAGTGGCTCACACCTGTAATCCCAACACTTTGGGAGGTCAAGGTGGGGGATCACCTGAAGTCAGGAGTTCGAGAGGACCAGTCTGGCCAATATGGTGAAATCCCGTCTCTACTAAAAATACAAAAAATTAGCCAGGCATGGTGGTATGCTCCTGTAGTCCCACCTACTCAGGAGGCTGAGGCATGAGAATCTCTTGAACCCGGGAGGCAGAAGTTGAAGTGAGCCAAAATTGCGCCACAGGAAAGAACGAAGGAAGGGAGGTGGGGAGGGAAGGATTGATCTTCCAGTGAGCTGAGATTGCGCCACTGCACTCCAGCCTGGGCAGCAGAGCAAGATTCCATCTAAAAAAAAAAAAAAAAAAAAAAAAGAAATCAACATTGGTACATGACTATTAACCCCTCCCTGACTTAATTCAAATGTTGCCAGCTCTTCCATCCAAGTCTTTCCTTGTGGAGAATCCCATCCAGGGCACCCCATTGCATTTCATTGTCTTGTTGCCCCAGTCTCCTCTGGTCTGCATCAATTTCTCAGTCTCCTTATTTCTCATGACCTTGGCAATCTTTTCTCTCCCTCCCTCCTTCCCTCCCTTCCTTCCTTTCCTCCCTCCCTCCCTCCCTCCCTCCCTCTCTTTCTTTCCTTTTTTTCTTTTATTTCTTCTCTCTCTCTCTCTCTCCCCCTCTCTCTCCCTCCCTCCCCCTTCCTCCTTTCCTTTCCTTTTGACAGGGTCTGGCTCCTGGACAGTTGTCCAGGTTGGAGTGCAGTAGTCCAATATCAGTTCAATAAATCACGGCAACCTCTGGGCCCAGTTGCTCCTCCTACCTCAGCTTCCCAAGTAGCCGGAACTATAGGTGCCCACCACCATGCCTGGCTTTGACAGGCAGGATACCTTAAAGAATGTCCTTCCCTCCAGTCTGGGTCTGTCCGTTATCTATCTCATGATTATATTCATTTCTCATTTCTCATGGTTATGGGCTTGGTTCAAGTTCTTTTAATCCAGACATCCTCCTACAGGAAGAGGCTGCCAAAAATTTTTGAAATAAACTTTCTGCTTTTGTCAAAAGGAATTGAAAACACAAATGACCTGTTATGCCACCTCCCTGACAGACTTGGTGTTTCTAACTTCCAGGTCGTTGATCTGAGGTGGGGTATTCGGGACACTGAAGCCACTGACCACTTGACCACAGAACTCTGCTTGGAGGAGGTCGACCGCTGTTGCAAAGAATCCATAGGGCCAGCTTTTGTTGTGAGTGTCTCAGGAGGAATGGGTTAGCTCTTACTCCTCCAGGATATGCCCCCTGCTTTCTAGACAAACTGATCAGCAGAGGGAAATAGGTACCATATATATGTGTATATATACACACACTCCTTTTTTTGAGACAAGTTCTTGGTATGTTGCCCAGGCTGGTTTTGAACTCCTGGACTCAAGCAATCCTCCAGCCTTAGTCTCTTGGATAGCTGGGATTACAGTTATTCTCTTGTTCTACACGTCTATTGTATGCTGGTGCCACTCTGTTTTATTTATTACTGCTTTAAAATATATTCTAATGTTTGGAAAACTCTACATTCTACTTGTAAATCTCCTAAATTTGCAGTCTCTAAATTTAATTTTTCAAAGGAGCCCAATGATCATTTTGTTGAGTTTCCAAGGAAAAAAAAAAAAAAAGGGAGAGAGAGACTGCCCATGATGGTTCATGCCTGTAATCCCAGCACTTCAGGAGGCTGAGGTGAGAGAATCACTTGAGCTCAGGAGTTCAAGACCAGCCTGAGCAGCATAGTGAGACCCCAGGCCTACCAAGAAATTTTTTTTTTTTTTTTTTAAAGGAAGAAAGGGAAAAAATGGAGAAAAAGAACTCCAGGGGGAATTTGGTTTTGCAACCCAAATTGCAGGCAGCCGAAAGCACAGTGCAGCTTCCTGGTTGCACAGGGAACCCGAGGGTGATCTCTGAGCTTCTCTCGGGCCTGACTAACCAGGCCTGGGACCTTCCAGAGAAAGGCCCCATGGCCGGCTGACCTGGACTTAACTTCCTGCTTCCCTCTTGAACCAGGCATTACCTCTGTACAGCCCAAGGGCCACGGCATCATTCTGCTCCATGACTCTGACTTGCAGGGGGACTTGCAGAAAAATCAGAGATGTACCGGAGGCCCTTGGAGAGGTGTCTCTCTGGTAAATAAGTCATTAGGCAGCACTGAGGCCGGGGACAGCTCCCTAAGGTACTTCCTTTTAGAGAGGCTCCGGTCTCTTGGGCCATCAGCAGCCCCAGTGTCTCCAGAGCTCTGAGAGTTGTTCCTGGTGGGAATTCTTTCTATTTCCCTTGCTTTGATCCCACAGACCGGAACAGTTTGTTTTGTTTACCACCCGTTTCCTTCGTATAACCTCTGGTTTGTGGTTGGTTTGTGTCTTAGTCTATTTTCTGTTGCTTATAACAGAATCCCTGAAACTGACTAGTTATAAAGAAATGAGGCCAGATACTGTGGATCATACATGTAATCCTAGCGCTTAGGGAGACTGAAGCCAGAGGATCATGTGATCCCAGGAGTTCAAGACCAGGCTGGGCAACGTAGCAAGACCCCATCTCTACAAAAGAATAAAACAGCCGGAGTGGTGGCTCATGCTTATAGTCCTAGCTGCTCAAGAGGCTGAGGTGGGAAGATCCCTTGAGCCCGGGGGTTCGAGGCTGCAGTGAGGTATGATTGCACTGTGGCACTCTGGCCTGGGTGACAGAGGAAGAGTGTGTCTCTTAAGAAAAAAAGAAGAAAGAATAGAAAAGAAATTACTATTATTTTTATTTTTGAGATGGAGTTGCTCTGTTGCCCAGGCTGGATTGCAGTGGCACGACCTCTGCTCACTGCAACCTCTGCCTCCCGGGTTCACGCGATTTCCAGTGAATTTTTGTATTTTTAGTAGAGACGGGGTTTCATCATGCTTGCTGGGCTGTTCTCAAACTCCTGACTTCAAGTGATCCACCTACTCGGCCTCCCAAAGTGCTAGGATTACAGGTATGAGACACTGTGCCCAGCCAGAAATTCATTTCTGAGGTTTCTGGAGGCTGGGCAGCCCAAGGTCAAGGGGCTGCATCTGGTGACAGCCTTCTTGCTACTGGGGTCTCACGGAGTCCTGAGGTGGTGCAGGGTATCACGTGGCGAGAGGGCTGAGTGTGCCATCTCAAGTCTCAGCCTCTCCACCTGTTTTTATACAGCCACAAGTCACATTCTCATGATAACCCTTTCATCCATCCATTCATCCATTCATCCAGGAGTGGGTTAATCCATTCATGACGGCAGAGCCTCATGACCCAGTCACCTCTTAAAGGGTCTACCTCTCCATACTACCACGTTGGGGATTAAGTTTCAACAGGAGTTTTGGTTGAGGGGGGACAAATATTCAAACTGTACCACCTGGCTATGACTTTTCCAACTTCTCTTGTTCATACGAGGCTGTTATTGCTGGAAAGGTCCCTGGAGCACAGCATCTTCTTCAACATCCTCTCATCACTGATTCCGTTTATCCGGGTTTCCTCCATGCGTGCCCCTGGAGTATTCTGGTACAACCCAACAAAGTGTGGAGGGGTGATTGCTTCTATTTCTTTTTTTGTTCTTTGTTCTTTTTTTTGTTTTGTTTTGAAACAGAGTCTTGCTTTGTCACCCAGGCTGGAATGCAGTGGCACGATCTCAGCTCACTGCAACCTCCACCTCCCGGGTTCAAGTGATTCTCCTGCCTCAGCCTTCCAAGTAGCTGGGACTACAGGCATGTGCCACCACACCCAGCTAATCTTTTGCATTTTTAGTAGAGACGGGGTTTCACCATGTTGGCCAGGATGGTCTCGATCTCTTGACCTCATGATCCACCCGCCTCGGCCTCCCAAGGTGCTGGGATTACAGACGTGAGCCACTGAGCCCAGTGATTACTTCTATTTCATCCTGGGAAAACTGGACTTTGGCTTTGGCCTAAAGGGCTAGGTCTCATCCAGCTTAACTCTTTTTTTTTTTTTTTTTTTTTTTTTTTGAGATGGTGTCTCCCTCTGTCCAGGCTAGAGTGCAGTGGCACGATCTGAGCTCAGTGCAGCCTCAGTCTCCTGAGCTCAAGTGATCTTCCCACCTCAGCCTCCTGAGTGGCTGGGACTACAGCCATGCGCCACCATGCCAAGCTCATTTTTGTATTTTTTTGTAGAGATGGGGGTTTCACCATGTTGCCCAGGGCTGGTCTTGAACTCCTAAGCTCAAGTGATCTGCCCATCTTATCCCAAAGTGCTGGGATTACAGGTGTGAGCCACCGTACCTGTCCAGGTGAACTCTTCTGCCTTCCAGTTTGCACCTACTCTGAGTGTGGTCCTGGCACTAAGACCAAAATTTTGGGCTGGGTGCGGTGGCTCACGCCTCTAATCCCAGCACTTTGGAAGGCCGAGGCAGGCAGATCACTTGAGGTCAGGAATTCAAGACCAGCCTGGTCAACATGGTAAAACCCTGTCACTACAAAAAATGCAAAAAATTAGCCAGGTATGGTGGTGGGCACCTGTCATCACAGTTACTTGGGAGGCTGAGGTAGGAGAATCACTTGAACCCAGGAGGCAGAGGTTGCAGTGAGCCGAGATTGTGCTATTGCACTCCAGCCTGGGTAGCAACAGTAAAACTCTGTCTCAAAATAAAAATAAAATCCTGTGCAGCAGGACAGCCCTGTCTCCTTTCACTGCCCCTCTTCTTTCTAGTGCCTTAGCTGCCTCTGCCCTTCCTACAGCAGCCTGCTCCTTCCTGCCACAGGACCTTTGCACATGCTGCTTCCCTGCCTGCAAGGTACTCTGCCTGATAAACTCCTTTTCATGTCTTATTCTGCAGCTCAGGTGAATTTCCTTGACTCCCCAGACTATGTGCGACCCATGTTGGAAAAAAAAAACCCATGCGCTTTATTTATTTATTTATTTAGAGATGGAATCTCACTCTGTTGCCCCGGCTGGAGTGCAGTGGCATGATCTCAGCTCACTGCAGCCTCCCGGGTTCTAGCGATTCTCCTGCCTCAGCCTCCCAGGTAGCTGGCATAACAGGCACACGCCACCATACCTGGCTAATTTTTGTATTTTTAGTAGAGATGGCATTTCACCATGTTGGCCAGGCTGGTCTCGAACTCCTGACCTCAGGTGATCTGCCCACCTCAGCCTCCCAACGTGCTGGGATTACAGGTATGAGCCACTGTGCCCAGCCAATACACATTTATTTAATGCAAGTATTTTACATGGCACAAGAACCATCATAAGGAAATAAGGACCCACAAAAGCAGTTGGAGTCATTTACTTATGTATTGAGTTGGACAAAGAATAGTCTATTGTGGCTGGGCACAGTGGCCTATAATCCCAGCACTTTGGGAGGCTGAGATAGGATGATCACTTGAGCCCGGGATTTCAATACCAGCCTGGGTAATGTAGGGAGACCCTGTCTGTACCAAAAATAAAATCTTAAAAATTAGCCAGGTGTGTGGGCACGTGATTGTGGTCCCAGCTACTCAGGAGGCTGAGGTGGGAGGATCACTTAAACCCAGGAGGTCAGCTGGGTGCGGTGGCCCACGCCTGGGCTGAGGCGGGTGGATTATGAGTTCAGGAGTTCAAGACCAGCCTGGCCAGGATGGTGAAACTCCGTTTCTACTAAAAATACAAAAATTAGCTGAGAGTGGTCATGGGTACCTGTAATCCCAGCTACTCGGGAGGCTGCGACAGGAGAATTACTTGAACCCAGGAGGCAGAGGTTGCAGTGAGCCAAGATTGCACCACTGCACTCCAGCCTGGGTGGCAGAGTGAGACTCCATTAAAAAAAAAAAAACAAAAAACAAACAAAAAACCCAGGAGGTCAAGGCTGCAGCGAGTCATGGTTGTACCACTGTGCCTCAGCCTGGGCAACAGAGCAAGACCCTGTTGAGGAAAAAAAGTGAGATTGGAATCTGTGATTTCCTCTCTGCTAGGCCCTCATCGGTGATCAGTACGGCCCCTGTCTGGTTCCCTCGCAGATTGACGAGAAGGAGTGGGAAGTATTGAGGGCCCGGCTGACTGCCAGGCCGAGTGACCTGGAGCTGGTGGCAAGGCACTTCCGGAGGGACGAGAATGCGGTTCCTCCCGCCTACGTCCTGCAGGCACCAGGCACTGGGGAGGCCTGCGAGCCAGAGGAGGCCACCCTATCCTCTGTCCTATGCTCTGGAGCCCAGGAGGCCCGGAGGCTGGGCCTCATCACCCAGCGGCAGTGGCATCGCTACCACCGGTCAGGTGAGGCTGCAGGGACTCCCCTGGAGATCCACGTGAAACTGACCATGTGTTCAGAATTTCCATCTGCTGTTGGCAAAAAATGCAACAGTTTGCATTTCTTGCAAATGCCAAACCAATCAACCTCTGGTCCCTCGGCTCAGAAAAAGACGATTTTACTGATCCAAGATAGCTTAGCCACGTTCCTGATCAGTCGTGGTCTCAGGATCTGCTTCTCCTCCTCGCTGGCTCTTTCTTCTTGTCTCCCAGGAAGGCTCCTGACATGGGTTGGGGGTGTATTAGTCTATTTTCATGCCACCAATAAAGACATATTTGAGGCTGGGTAATTTGTAAGAAAAGAGGTTTAATGGACTCACAGTTCCATGTGGCTGGGGAGGCCTCACAATCATGGCAGAGGGTCAAGGAGGAGCAAAGGCATGTCTTACATGGCAGCAGGTAAGACAGAGTGAGAGCCAAGTGAAAGGAGAAACCCCTTATAAAACCATCAGATCTCGTGAGATGTATTCACTACCACGAGAACAGTATGGGGGAACCTGCCCCCGTGATTTAATTCTGTCCCACCGGGTCCCTCCCACAACACGTGGGAATTCTGGGAGCTACAGTTCAAGATGAGATTCGGGTACAGACACAGACAAGCCATATCAGGGGAAGCAATCCAGGGTGACTACCATCCCAGTTTTCCTGGGATGGAGGGGTTCCTAGGATGCAGAATTTGTAGTACCAAATCTAGCAGGCTGGGCCCAGTGGTGCCCACCTGTAATCCCAGCATTTTGGAAGGCCAAGGCAGGAGAATCACTTGAGCCCAGGAGTTCAAGACCAGCCTGGGCAATATAGTGATACCTCATCTCTCTTAAAAAAAAAAAAAAATTGTTTTTAATTTGCCAAACGTAGTGGTGTGCGCCTGTTGTCCCAGCTACTCAGGAGGCTGAGGCAGGAGGATTGGTTGAGCCCGGGGAGGCAGAGGCTGTGGTGAGCCAAGATCACGCCACTGCACTCCAGCCTGGGTGACAGAGAGAGACTTGTCTCGAAAAACGAAATTAGCTGGGCATGGTGGTGCATGCCTGTAGCCCCAGCTACTCAGGAGGCTGAGATGAAAGGATCACTTGAGCCCAGGAGTTGGAGGCTGCGTTGAGCTATGATCTTGCCAATGTACTCCTGCAAGGGTGACAGATGACACCCTGTCTCTAAATAAATAAATAAATTAGCCGGGTGCAGTGGCTCACACCTGTAATCCCAGCACTTTGGGAGGCTGAGGCGGGCGGATCACGGGTCAGAAGTTTAGAGACCAACCTGACCAACATGGTTCAACCCCATCTCTACTGAAAATACAAAAATTAGCTGGGTATGGTGGTACATGGCTGTAATCCCAGCTACTCAGGAGGCTGAAGCAGGAGAATCGCTTGAACTTGGGAGGCGGAGGTTGTGGTGAGCTGAGATTGTGCCATTGCACTCCATCCTGGGCAACAAGAGTGAAACTCTGTCTCAAAAAATTAATTAATAAATTAAATTAAATACAGTCAGCCCTTGAACAACATAGGGTTCAGGGACCCTAAACCCTTGCACTGTCAAAAATCTGTATTACCTTTGCGTTCAGGAGTTCGAGACTAGCCTGGGCAATATGGCAAAACCCCGTCTCTACAAAAAATAAGTTAGCCAGGTGTGACAGCATGTGACTGCAGTCCCAGCTACTGGGGAGACTGAGGTGGGAGGATTGCTTGAGCCCAGGAGTTGGAGGCCGCAGTGAGCCATGATTGTGCCACTGCACTCCGGCCTTAACTGCTTAACGACTTACTCCCCCAAAACTTAATAGTCTACTATTGACTGAAAACGCTACTGATAGCATAAATAGTTGATGAGGCATGGTGTCTCATGCCTGTAATCCCAGCACTTTGGGAGGCTGAGGTGGGTAGATTACTTGAGCCCAGAGTTAGAGACCAGTCTGGGCAACATGGCAAAACCCCATCTTTATTTTAAAAAAAATTAAAATTAGCTGGGCATGGTGGTGCACACCTGTAGTCCCAGCTACTCAGGAGGGTGAGGTAGGAGGGTTGCGTGAGCCCAGGAGGTGGAGGTTGCAATGAGCCCAGATTGCACCACTGCACTCCAGCCTGGGCGACAGAGTGAGACCCTGTAACAAACAAATAACATAAAAAGTTGATGAAGACGTATTTTGTGTGTTTTATCATATCCTGTATTCTTGTTGTTGTTGTTGTTGTTGTTTTTTGAGATGGAGTCTCACTCTGTCATCCAGGCTGGAGTGCAGTGGCATGATCGTGGCTCACTGCAACTTCTGCCTCCTGGGCTCAAGCGATTCTCCTGCCTCAGCCTCCCGAGTAGCTGGGATCACAGGCTTGTGCCACCAACCCGGCTAATTTTTTGTATTTTTTAGTAGAGACGGGATTTCACTGCCATAGCCAGGATGGTCTCGATCTCCTGACCTGGTGATCTGCCCACCTTGGCCTCCCAAAGTGCTGGCATTACAGGTGTGAGCCACCGCACCTGGTTCCATATCCTGTATTCTTACAATAAAGTAAGCTAGAGAAAAGAAAACATTATTACAAAAACTGCAAGGAAGAGAAAATATGTTTGCTGTTGATCGTGCATAAGCGGATCATCAGTCACAAAGGTCTTCATCCTTGTCATCTGCAAGAGGAGGGGTTGGTCTTGCTGCCTCGGGTGGCAGAGGCAGAATAAACTTCTGTGTAGTTCAAACCCATGTTCATCAATGGTCAACTTCATACAATTCAATGGCAATTAGTACATTCACTGAGTCAAGGAACCACCCTCCGTGTCTAGTTCCAAGACATTTTATTTTTATTTATTTATTTAATTTTTTGGGGACAAGATCTTGCTCTGTTGCTCAGGCTGGAGTGCAGTGGCACAATCATGGCTCACTGTAGCCTCCAACTCCTGGGCTCAAGCAATCCTCCCACCTCAGTCTCCCCAGTAGCTGGGACCACAATCACGCACCATCACGCCCGGCTAACTTATTTTTTGTAGAGACAGGATTTTGCCATGTTGCTCAGGCTGGTCTCGAACTCCTGAGCTCAAGCGATCGTCAGCCTCTGCCTCCCAAAGTGCTGAGGTTACAGGCATGAGCCACTGTGCTTGGGCCTCCAAGACATTTTCATCACCTCAAAAGAAGCTTTACCCGTTACACCCTCCCCGTCTCCCATCTCCCAGCACAGGCAGCCACCACCAATCTGTTTTCAGACTCTATGAATTTGCCTGTTCTGGACATTTCATGTCAATGCAATCATACAATGTGGCCTTTTTTTTTTTTTTTTTTTGACAGAGTCTCACTCTGTCACCTAGTCTGGAGTGCAGTGGCGCAATCTTGGCTCACTGCAACCTCCGCACCTCCCAGGTTCAAGCGATTCTCCTGCCTCAGCCTCCCGAGTAGCTGGGACTACAGGCACACGCCACCACATCCAGTTAATTTTTGTGTTTTTAGTAGAGGCGGGGTTTCAGCATGTTGGTCAGGCTGGTCTTGAACTCCTGAACTCGTGATCTGCCCACCTCAGCCTTCCAAAGTGCTGAGATTACAGGCGTGAGCCACCACGCCCAGCCCTACTACATGGCCTTTTGTGTCTGGCTTCTCTTATTCAGCATCATGTTTTGAGGTTCATCTACATTTTAACACCTACGAGTACTTCATCCATTTCAGTGGCTGAATAGTATCCCACTGTGTGGATGGACCATGTTTTGTTTACCCATTCACCTGTTGATGGATGTTTGTTTTGATTTGTTTTTGAGATGGAGTCTCACTCTGTTGCACAGGCTGAAGTACAGTGCCATGATCTCAGCTCACTGCAAACTCCGCCTCCCAGGTTCAAGCGATTCTCCTGTCTTAGCCTCTTGAGTAGTTGGGATTACAGGCATGTGCCATCATGCTGGGCTAATTTTTGTATTTTTAGTAGGGATGAAGTTTCACCATGTTGGCCAAGCTGGTCTCGAACTCCTGACCTCAGATGATTCACACTCCTCAGCCTCCCAAAGTGCTGGGATTATGGGCGTGAGATCCTGCGCCCGGTCTGCTATGGATGTTTGGATTGTTTCTGCCTTTTGGCTGTTGAAAATGGTGCTGTATGAGCAAGGGTGTATTAATATTTGTTGGAGTCTCTGTCTTCGGGTCTTTTCAGCAGATACCTAGGAGTGGGATTGCTGGGTGCGATAGTAACCCCATGATTCACTTTCTGAGGATGACAGCATTGTTATACAGTGTGGCTGCTCCTCACATGGAATCTCTGTGTTGCCCGCCCTGAGGGGTCTTTGATTAATAATGCCTAAATCAGGCCGGGTGCAGTGGCTCATGCCTGTAATCCTAGCACTTTGGGAGGCCGAGGCTGGAGAACCACTTGAGTTCAGGAGTTGGAGACCAGCCTGGGCAACATAGCAAGACCCCGTCTCTACAAAAAAAATACAAAAATTATCTGGGCGTGGTGGCAGGCACCTGTAATCCCAGCTACTCAGCAGGGGCTGAAGTGGGAGGATCGCTTGAGCCTGAGAGGCAAAGTTTGCAGTGAGCTGTGATCGTGCCACTGCACTCCAGCCTGGGAAACAGAGTGAGGTAAGACAGTGTGTCTTAATAATAATAATAATAATAAATGGCTTAATCAGTGTGACCGTGGCTGGGCTCCATGGCTCAAACCTGTAATGCTAGCACTTTGGGAGGCTGAGGCAGGTGGATCACTTGAGGCCAGGAGGTCGAGACCATAATGGCCAGTGTGGAGAAACCCCATCTCTACTGAAAATACAAGACTTAGCTGGGTGGGGTGGCGCATGCCTGTAATCCCAGCTACTCGGGAAGCTGAGGCAGGAGAATTGCTTGAACCGGGAGGCGGAGGTTGTGGTGAGTTGAGATCGTGCCATTGCACTCTAACCTGGACAACAAGAGCAAAACTCTGCCTCAAAAAAAAAAAAAGAAGAAAAAAAAAAAAAAAAAAAAAAAACAGTGTGACTCTGGGTGCAGTCCCCGGACCAGCAAGCCTTGGCTTGTTGTAAATGCAAACTCCAGGGCCCCTCCCAGATCTGCTGAATCAGAACTTCTGGAGGTGGGGTCTTTTCGAGGCCCCCAGGTCGGACTCTGGTGCACGCTGACCTTGAGTACCAATGCACGCCCCAGCAACAGGTCTCCCAGCAACCCCATTTAGGTCAGCTGCTGACCCAATAATGACCACCCTTCATTCCTTCCTTCCCTGCTTCGGCAGCCATTGAGTGGGAGATAGAGCGGGGCCTGCTGAGCTCAGAGGACCGGGACCAGCGAGCCACTGTCTTCCTTCGAGAGATCCAAGACCTCCACAAACACATTCTGGAGGACTGCGCCCTCAGGATGGTGGACCGGCTCGCGGATGGCTGCCTGGACACGGATGCCCAGAGCCTTCTCAGCAACCTCAAAGCTCACATCACTGACGTGCACCCCGGGGTCCTCAAGGCGCACCGCCTGCCATGGAGCCGGGATCTGGTGAACCCCAAGAACCAGACTCACGCCCGCTACCTGAAGGAGCTGGGTGAACAGTTTGTGGCAAGGGCCAATCACCAGATCCTCGAACACCTCCGTGAGCTGGATATGGCCAGGCAGGAGATGGCATGGCTCTACCAAGAAATCCGCCACCACCTTTGGCAGAGCTCGGAGGTCACCCAGACTTTCTGCGGACGCCAGAAACTCCTAGCCCGGCTCGGACAGCAGCTCAGGCAGGATGACAGCAAGCCACACACCCCCCTGGTGCTCTTTGGAGTCCCAGGCATTGGAAAGACGGCCCTGATGTGCAAGCTGGCCGAGCAGATGCCAAGGCTGCTCGGGCACAAGACAGTGACTGTCCTACGGCTTCTGGGGACGTCTCAGATGAGCTCAGATGCCCGCGGCCTGCTGAAGAGCATCTGCTTCCAGGTGTGCCTGGCCTATGGGCTGCCCCTGCCCCCTGCCCAGGTCCTGGATGCCCACACCAGAGTGGTCCAGTTTTTCCACGTCCTCCTCCACACCATCTCTTGCAGAAACTTTGAGTCTCTCGTGCTCCTGCTGGATGCTATGGATGACCTGGACTCTGTCCGCCATGCTCGGAGGGTGCCCTGGCTGCCTCTCAACTGCCCCCCGAGGGTGCACCTCATCCTTTCAGCTTGCTCAGGGGCATGGGGCGTTTTAGATACTTTACAGCGGGTGCTCCCCGACCCGGAGGCCTACTGGGAGGTGAAGCCCCTCTCCGGAAACCAAGGCCAGGAGATGATCCAACTCCTGCTGGCGGTAGCAAAGAGGACACTGAGCCCTGTGCACACAGATTTGCTCTGGGCCAGCCTCCCGGAGTGTGGGAACCCGGGGCGGCTGAGGCTGGCCTTTGAGGAGGCCCGGAAATGGGCCTCCTTTACTATGCCTGCCCCTCTGGCCAGCACCTCAGAGGAAGCCACACACCAGCTCTGCGCCCGCCTGGAGCAGACACACGGGCGGCTCCTCGTGGCCCACGTGCTGGGCTACATCGTCTCCTCCCGGTGAGTCTCTGTGCTTTGAAACCTTATTTATTTATTTATGTTCAATTTTTTTATTTTTAGAGTTGGAGGTCTGGCTCTGTCACCCAGGCTGGAGTGCAATGGTACGATCATAGCTCACTGCAGCCTCGAACTCCCAGGCTCAAGTGATGCTCACGCCTCAACCTGTCAAGTAGCTGGGACTACAGGCATGCATTACTGTGCCCAGCTAAATATAGTTATTTATGAGATGGAGTGTTTACTCTTGTTGTCCAGGCTGGAATGCAGTGGTGCAGTCTTGGCTCACTGCAACCTCCACCTCCGGGTTCAAGCGATTCTCAGCCTCAGCCTCTTGAGTAGCTGGGATTACAGGCACCTGCCCCCATGCCTGAATAATTTCTATATTTTTAGTGGAGACAGGGTTTCACCATGTTGGCCAGGCTGGTCTAGAACTCCTGACCTCAGGTGACCCACCTGCCTCAGCCTCCCAAAGTGCTGGGATCACAGGCGTGAGCCACCACACCAGGCCTGTTCATTTCTTTTTTTCTTTTTTGAGGCCGAGTTTCACTCCTGTTGCCCAGGCTCTAGTGAAGTGGCACAATCTCAGCTCATGGCAACCTCTGCCTTCCAGATTCAAGATGTTCTTCTGCCTCAGCCTCCCGAGTAGCTGGGATTATAGGCACCCGCCACTATGCCTGCTAATTTTTGTATTTTTAGTAGAGATTGAATTTCACCATCTTGGCTAGGCTGGTCTCGAACTCCTGACCCCGTGATCCACCCCCGTTGGCCTCTCAAAGTGCTGGGATTACAGGTGTGAGCCACCGTGCCTGGCCAGTTTTTAAATTTTTATTTTTAGAGCTACGGGTCTGGCTCTGTCACCCAGGCTGGAGTGCAGTGGTGCGATCATAGCTCACTGCGGCCTCCAACTCCCAGGCTCAAGTGATCCTCCCATCTCAGCCTGCCAAGCAGAGTAGCCGGGACTACAGGCGTGCACACTGTGCCTAGATAAATATATTTTTTGTTTGTCAACTATACCTCAACACAGCTGGGAAAATAATCACATACATGCAAAAGAAAGAAAAGGCTGCCTACGTGGTTGCTTAAGCCAGTGAAGTCTCAGGGTTATAAATTGCAATAAACCTGGGTCATGGTACTCTGGGCCATTGCTCAGAGATGCTGGGTGTAGAGGAGGAGTCCAAAGTAACATGCAGCCGGGCGCGGTGACTCACGCCTGTAATTCCAGCACTTTGGGAGGCCGAGGCGGGTGGATCACGAGGTCAAGAGATCGAGACCATCCTGGTCAACATGGTGAAACCCCGTCTCTACTAAAACTACAAAAAATTAGCTGGGCATGGTGGCGC